TTGACCTTTCAGTATCCATTTTCCTGCAGAGCCTCTGATGCTCCTTGATTCGTGTGCTAATTTTTCTTCCTGTTTCGCCAATATATTTCTGTCCGCAGCCGCCGCATGATACACAGTAAACTCCTGAACAGTCCAATTTGTCTACCCTTTCATGTTACGTTGGTAGACTTGTAAAAAGTGTTGATTTATTCTTCATGACCACCTGAATATTCTATTTATTCAATATTGGTCGTAATTTTTGAGTTAATTCGCAGGAAGGCAGGCATATCCACTTTTGTGAAACCTTGATCGTCCTTACTGTCCTTTCATAGTCCCCGTTCTGCCATCGGCTTTTTACGGCCTGTATGTTTCTTTGATTTACTCCGTTTGGGTAGCCATAACAGAAGCCACAACATCTTGGTCTTCATATCTGATCTAAAAAGTTCAAGCAAATGATTCCAAAACAACGGGAATTAGCCATCACCTTTGTGAAATCTACCTGTAAATCTCTCCTGTAGGTGCCTTTACAATATCTCAAAATAAAATCACTATTGTGTCATAACTAAACCCTAACTTTTTAGTTCACTGTCACAACTTTTGAGGAAATTCAAGCTTGACACTACATATTTGGTATTAAATTCATCAAAGAGACGTTTAAATATGGAAAATCCGGTGCTAGGTAGTATAACTGAGTGCTAAGTAGTGACGTACAGCACAAATATTTTGGGTAATAGGTTGCCTTTATTGGAAATTATTGATAATGTTTTCGAATAATTGTGCAACTTCTATAAAAATTTGTTGATTGCTCATAAATATGCAGTTCTGACTTTGACGATGTCTGCCACTTGACGGACAAAGGCTAAGCGCGAATTCACGGGATCGAATGAAGGTGAGCCGAGGTCTTCTTCGCACAATTCGGCAGTCACAAGTCCAAGACAACCCTCTTTCGATACCCAGTGAGGCTAATTTCCGTATCCCTTTTACCCGCCTTCTAAAAAAAGTTTAAATTATGCGAATATAATTATACTAAGGATTTATTCAAAACCCAGCTTCTCTCGGTATCTTATAAGTCATTCGATAGTTTCGCATCTCATAAATTCTATGTAT